ACGAATAAGACAATTTCATTATTTGGAAGTCGATATCTAAATCCGAAAAAAAAATTTACTTTCCCGGTAATTCCAAAATGCATAATCGATAAAGAATTATTGAATAATAAGCGCTACGTTAATGTGTTTTTTGTGACAATTGGGCAAAGCTGGCCGACTATCCGGCTTCTTACTTTGTATGTGTTTCTCAATACACTGTATAATGAGGAATTACACAAACTAAAAACTTTGATTGTTAATTAACATTATTATTTTAGAATCAGTGTTACACATATCGTCTTATCTTCTTCATCAATAAACATTGACCAATATATTCTTCTTATTTAAATAAAAGAGTAGGAATTTGTGTTATTAACAGACTTGTATTTTCGACTGGAAGGAATAATCTGTGGTAGAGCATTTGATCATAGAACCTAATTAAGGTATTAAGGTTGGATGTTCGTTGTTGCTTATACTTGTAGTGTTTGCTGTTTTTCCCTGCCCACCACGAAAATAAGCTGTAAACAAAGCATCATGAAAATTGTCGAATATCTCCGAAACCGTGATCGGCTTGGCTGACTAATCGGCCTCTTTAGAACAGGCTACAGCCCACTTCAATTTGTTTGAATTGTGACCTTGAAGAAATTGCGCGAAGATAGACAGAACACACACTAGGCGTGAGGAAGACAGAAATAATTGAAACATGCTTGAACGAGCAGAGCTCTCGATGGGCGGTCTTAGGAGATCGGCTAGAAATGTACAGTACTAGACGAAAACGTTTAGAAGTTTCTTAAAACAAAAATGTATATAAATTAACAATGGGAAACAAAGCAAAAGTTTTATAAGTGTGTAGAGCGTTAAGTTAATTCACTTGTTACTATTTTTGGCTAAATATGCTTTTAAATAAAGCATATTCTTAAATTTTAACAAGGCAGTTTAAATAATTTTGCAAATGGTACTGTACACTTTTGTCTAGTTCTCGTTCGATGATCAGTGTAGAAATGAGCTCCGCAGACAAATATGATTGAATTTGGAATTATGCTACGGCGCATCCTAATAAAGGGAAGGGGCATATCTCCAACTTCTTGAAACGAACAGTAATCGGCTAGTAGGCTAGTCGGCCAAAGTCATAGTCAGCACATCTCTAATTAATATACTTGGTATCTGTAAACAATTATCTGTCGGTACCTATGATTTATTTTGGTGAAAAGATACATAAAACCTAAACACATGCCAAATTTTTAATTATATATTTACCTATTAATTAATCGTTAAGGACTAAATTTTCAAAGTTGGCTTAAAAGCAAATTAATTATAAACGAATACAATCATTTTTAGAACTTTGACCTGTTGACGTCATAAAAGACAATTATACATTAATGTGCATCATGACCACACGCCGCCACTGACTGTTACTAAGTCATCCATATTTAAATTGAATAGCAATCTCCGGTATAGATTTAAGTTCGGAAATAAATTTCAGGGCGAGTTGAAATTCTTTCGCGACTTCTAACTTTCAATAGCACGTTTACCGGCATCGTGCGCGATTTTCATCGTTCTTTTCCAATTTGTAGAAGCCATTCCTTTCAGTCTCAGTAATAGATCACTTGCTTGCTCAGTAGAATTAAGAGTTGTAATTTAGAGCGCGGAGAACTCTTGTAACCTCTCAGCCATTCAATTAACGACGCGAACAGGTAACTAGATCGGGAGGCGAGAGAACGATGAAGAAGCCTGTTATTATTAAACGAAAAGTTACGGGAGAAGCAATGGAAAAATAATTATTGCCTCCACGTAGAATGTCTTGTCCTATTTTTCGACAGTGTCATTTCCTATTCATTAGAAAGATTTTGCGGTCGTTCGATTAAAATCATTAAAAGACTATTAACCAGAAATTAAAAATCGACAATTTTTAACGGCAAAAGTTCGTAATATGACGACAATATGATAATACCCGACTGAAATTTGTAAGGGACATAACCCATATTACGTGCGTGCCTCATGTGGCTAATGAGGGACATGCCGATATTGGGATTTCCCTGTAGATTTCTCATGAAAATCCCACCAAAAAAAATGGTGATACAAAAATGCGGATTACCCTTTGGGTTTTTCATATGGATCTTAAGGGGCAAACCTAACACATGTATAAACTTACAAATAAATCTACCTTATGGGGGCTCGATGAGGTAATTCTGTTTGAAAATAGTCTTGGTAAAATGAAAAACATATAAAAAATTGTAACATTCCCCTTGCCAAATTATGTCGTCGTTTCAATGAAATCTTTTAAATTTGTAACGAACCAACAAGTGTAGGTACTTCCTGATATTGTAATTATAAGACAACTGAAACCAGATGCATTAAGTCGAACAACAGTAAAACGATTGCAATTTAAAGTATTATTGACTGTAAAAAGGCCCAATAATACAATTGGACTTAAAAGCAAACAAATTTTACAAATAAATGATATATGTTTAGATTCCTCCAAATGGAAATATAAATTGTATTGAAATTTGTGGAAAACTACTACGAAAACCAAAATCCCTTTATACGTATCCATGCGACGCTAGATATTTAGAAATGTACCTACCTATAGTTTTTGCAAAAAATGAAAATATTACTACCTGTAAAATCATAGATGTTGATAAAATGGTTTACCTTAATGTTAGTGACGAAAGTAGAAAAATAATGTGTTATACTGTTGCTAAAAATGTAAAAGTGAACAATTTCTCATCAGTAAAATAAATTTCTCATTTAGTTTTGTATTTTTTCCTTAATAATACAGTTCATGTTTTCAAAAATTTTTAATAGGATAGCAATAATTTTTCCCCGCGCGGGCCACATGCGACATTCCTGATGATGCGCAAATGCGGCAAGGCGTTATATGCCTAAAGTGACCATTTATTTTTTTACTCAAAACGGGATATTTGTTTTTTTGTACGTCAATTCGTAGTCAATAAAAAACAAAGAACACATTTTTTAATGCTCTTTATTTAGAAAAAGTTAGATTTTATTATAAATTGAAAGTATTATGCAACGTTATATTTGTCAGAGAACAAATTTGTCTTAATGCACTTGGTGATGCTTTTAAATAAGACTAAAAATTTTTGGCACAATTTTTTTTATATTCACCTTAGTTAGTTACCAACATCTCCTTCAGAACTAGAATCTCTAATTGGGTTTTTTTTTGGCTGATTTTAGATATCTAGGAAGTCAGGACGGAAGGAGTAGTAGGGATATAGTATAGGGATATATAGATATAATATAGAAATTCGAAAAAGATTTTTATAGGTGTATGTTTGGAGCGCGGCTTTGTACGGGTGCGAAACATGGACAATGGGCGCGGCGGAAGAGAAAAGAAGCTTTCTAAGAACTATTAGAAACAATAGAACAGAGAACTCTATGGTGGTCAATAAAAAATAGGCGAGATAGGTTGGTAGGACACCTTCTCAGGCATGAAGGTCTAGTCAGAGACATATTAGAAGCAGAAACAGGATTTAGGAGGGGTAGAGCTAGACCTAGGTTAGATTACTGTTCGCAAATAGTTAAGGGATGTGGGTTGTTCTAGTTTTAGGGAAATGCAAAGTTTAGCTCAGGATAGGAATGAGTGGAGGTACGTATCCAGCCAGTCTTAGGACTGATGACCCTACGATGATGATGATTTGAAACTTCCCTTAGGTCTCATTAGGATGTGAATGTGAGATGAAGCAATATACCTCTTGTATTTAGAGAAATCCGGAATAGATAACCGTAAGATAGAAAAGGACTAATTATGTCATTTGGAGGTACGTGTCTAACCAGTCTTAGGACTGACGACCTAATGATGACAATTTGTGCATAAAAAAAGTACTCCTTCTACATTAGTAGCAAGCAAACAAAAAACAACTTAAATACAAAAGTTTTCATGTTGAAGATTGTTGGCGTGAAGGCCTTCGAATACTTCCACCCAACGAGTTTCTGTGGAAACATTTAGATTATTATTTGCAATGTGATGTAGTTAGAAATTAATGAAAATTCGTCAAATACTTCTGTATCTTTATTACAATCAGTATATCCCTTTAATCAGAGCATCCAATGCTTTTTGAACGTCTACCTATGCGGGTACTTTTTCTAAATATGTCCAATGAAACATCTCAATTTTTTCGGTGAGGGAGTAATCCACTGTTCCATATATTCAAGGCTTGTTTTATAAAATTCTGTAGACGTACTTATTACAAAATTTTATTAATATTAGTGCCATTATCTTTCAATTTCGCCATTAAACGACGAACCGAAAATGGAAGAAACTGATTGGTCTGTTTCTGAACCAAATTAACTTACATAATTTTCAGAAAACGGGACAATGGTGTATCCCGAAGTAGTTTTTGAGGAGAACGGTACCGATAATCCAAAAAAGGGATGGTCCCGTTCAAAACGGGACATATGGTCACGTTATATATGCCCCTTCCTTGCCCTAGGGGGCAACCTCATGGGGCCCACAAAGGGTAGTGGGCTACCCACTTAGTGACCCTACCTGCACCCCCTCAAACTCTAGTCGGGCATGACTTATTGTTAAGTGCAAGTCCGCTGGACCCAAGTATATTAATGTATTAATATTCGTTTAAAACTGTGGTGAACTATTAGTTGAGTTGGGGAGTAGTTAGAAAATAAAAACTGGTGCAATTTTGACCGTTGTATTTTACAGTTATCGTTAAGGATCTATTGAAAAAGTTGCAAGTATTCTACAATTTTATTTATATTATTATTATAGTATTATATCGCGTTGATAATAACATTAAATGTGGGCGAAACATGTGTCCACAGTGAACAGGTTTTGTGGTAACTAGGGTGAGTCTCTTTTTGATTTATTTGTCAGCTCATGTTTCCTACATCTGTTTGACTGTACTTACATTATCTATTTACGAAGACGTAAAGAAAAAGTAGTAAAGATTTGCTTCAGTAGCAAGCAGCATATTATTTATTAAATATCGTCGCGTATTTCTAAAAATATCTTCGTTTCAAAATAAAATCATGTCAAAATAACTCACTCGTGGTTTTATCGAAACAGCTTTGCGATACCATCGTTCAGCATCATCGTGTCTGGCAGCTTGTCGCATTGCCGTTGCGGTTGCGACTGCGAGTTCGTAATCTTTCGGTTGCAACTCTGCTGCCTTCTCATACATATCGGCTGCCTCTTGATGGCGTCCTCTTGACACGAGAAATTCTCCTGTAAAATTAAAGTCGTAATTAAATGGTTACCTTAAATAAATAGTACAAGACGTGAACATACTATTATACAGGTAATTCTGTCCTTATGTAACGTTTCTTTCAAATATGAATAACTTAAATAATTTATTAAATTCAATTATTCAAATATTACACCGAGAGAAAAATCTTCCAATTGTCTATGGCCCCAAAGCCGCCTAATGGCCCATTAATAAGTCAATTTAATGCTCTCATTTTCATTTTACAGCGGTTTTAAGTTAAGTTTTCTTATTTCTTGGACAACATTCGTTATTTTATTTTTTTGAGTCCCTTTTCAATGACTTCCAATAAACGATCCAGAAATTTCTATAAAATTTATTGCTATAACTGTCAAACATGTGACATCCATCAATTTATTCCAAGAACATGTTAAATACTTTTATATCCTTGTGGTTTTGTGCGAATATTAACCGAAAGTTGAAAAAACCTACTTAATATACTTTGATGATTAATCATTCTTTTGGCTTGCTTACACTCCCGTCTCTTTATTTTATTTGATATCAACATTTTTTACGTCAATAAAGTTTTTTCTGTATTGTAAATGATCAAAACCTACTAACCTAGGTATGCGGAGGGGGGGCTTAATAATTGCATTACCTATGGGCTTAATAACAGCTTAATCCGGCCCTGGATGCAAGATACATGTATTAACAAAATTCAATATCAGTCCAATAATTTTTGTAAGAAAACTATAAACTTCGCCAGAAAGCATAGGAATTTTTATTGTGCTAGCACAGCAATTTTTCTATTTTCAGTCAAAGGCGCCCAGATTATGGGACAGCATGGTAATTTTTACAATATTTTTCTCTGCGTATAATGACCACGCAATCATTCTGTAACCACTTTATACTAGGAGTGTTTCGAAAGTTCGTAGTCTAACGTAGATCGGAACTTCAGATATTTTTTAAATTAGTACCCTCATTATCATTATAGCGCTACATTATTCAATAGTAACGGTATAAAATTTTATTCGTTTATTTGTATTCGTTACAATTCCTCATGCGATTCCCTTGAACAAGTCGTGACGATTTTTGAAAATGCAAAAAACGAATATCGTCCAGTGATTAAGTACTTGAATGGGAAAGGTGTAACACCAAAAGAGATTTATAAAGACATGTTAAAAGCTTTAAGTAAATCAACCCCTTCGTATGCCACCTGAAAAAGTGCGTGAGGAAGATCAAGCGTAATCGTGAGAAGGTTAAAGATGACCCACGTAGTGATCGACCATCAACGTCAACCACAAACGATAACAATAAAAAGAAATTGTGACATGATTTTTATCTGATGGGAGATTGACTGTTAAGCAGAACGAACGTATCACATAATTGTCAATGAATTACGCTTTTCCAAGGTGTCTACGCGAAGGGTGCCTCGATTGCTTTCAGTTAAACAAAAACGCATTTGAGAGACGATTTTCTGCGACTACTTATAGTTGTTTGAGACTGATCCACATGAATTTATTGTAAGATTTCTAACCATAGAAGAAACCTAGGTACATCACTATAACCCACGGACGAAGGTAAAGTTCTAAACAGTGAAAAAGACCAGGGTCTCCTATTCCAAAGAATTATAATTAATTCCTTCCGTCGGAAAAATAATGACTTGAGTTTTTTGAGATTCAAAGGGCATGATTATGGTAGATTGCTTAGGAAAAGATGAAATTGTAAACTCTGCTTACTATTGCAATCTGTTGCAACGCCTAAAATGAGAAATTAAAGAAGTACGCCCTGGTTTGCTCAGAAGAAAAGTTTTATTGCCCTAATATAATTTACGAATTCACACATCATAGTTACCTTCGTGCCTTTATTGACAATATCTTCCACTGAAATCTACTATTATAGGCTACCGTACTACCTTTTCTGTACAAGTACGTATTACAGTGAAAATTTTCGTTTTTGTCTTTTATTTGAGAAAGAATACATTACGACGCATGCAACTTGTCAGCCGCTTTAAACATTCCAGAATTACGATCAAGGCAAAAGTATAGTGGTAGTTGCAAGAAACCAGTGTAGGTAATGAAAGATACAGGATGGCACTTATTCGTACTGTTACTGCAGAATTGGTTAAAGCAACGCAATAGTAGTAATTATTATAATGTAACATTTTTGAGTTTCAAGATTATGGAATTAATTTTTGATAACAAATTATAATTAATTCCTTCCAGTTAGAGGCAAAAACAGGAGTTAAGAGGAGTAGAGGTAGACGTGACTATTCACAGATAGTTAAGGATGTAGGATGTTCTAGTTTTAATGAAATGCGAAGATTAGCTCTGGGTAGGAAGGAGTGGAGATGCGTATCCAGTCAGTCTTAGGATTGACCTTATGATGACGAGTTATACATTAGATGAATCAAAGCTGGCCTTTAGCGGAAGCTATTGTACAGGAGATTCCATGTTTAAAAGACGATAGTAATACATTCAACGGACATGTAAGAATGGAAAAAAATAATTATAAATGGCACGTAATAATTTTATAAATTTATAGGAACATTATTTTGATGAAACAGCCAAAACAGGATTTATAGAATGCAAATTGTAGAATATGAGAAAAAAGCTCGTCAAAGAAAAAAATAAAAAAGGGCAACGATCAATTGATAATTCACAAGCAGATAATCCAGGTACAGATAGATTTTCAACTGAAGAAGTTAACGAAAAGGTACGAATGAAAAAATTTATATGACAGTAAAATTTTTTTTCATATACATTTAAATAATTATTAAACTTTATTTTAGATTTCCATGTTGAAATTAAAGAATCCAACAGAAAGTAATAAAAATATCGTATAATTATGCAAGACTTAAATGATCATCCATTCATGTATAGGAGGCATTGGATTATGACAAAAGATACAATAATCAATATCTTAATCTTTCCAAATGTATCCTCGTCTCCAAGTTTATCGAGGAGAAATGGTATACACTTCTCAAATAATAACACATATTAATAAAAATAAAAGCATAATTAAAAAATTTTATATCAATTTGATGTAGGTAATATTAAATATACTGATTCTGAATTATTTTACAGATTCACTTATAATTTCAGAAGATGAACGAATATTTTACAGCAACAGTTTTATTCTGGGCTTTCTAAAAAATAAAAAACTATGGAAAATGGTGGGTATTATATTCTTTTACAAAACATTTTCTCATTAGTGTAGCCATTTTTACTGCTTCTTCTCTATAATTTTTACGGGCATAACTAATTCTCGCAAATCTTATGCCTGTTTCCAATACGTGGACAAAAAGTACCAAAACGTCTATCAAGAAAGGAAAAGGAAAAAAGAGAGTGAGCTTTAAAGCAATTAATTTTTTAACAAACTATATTTTCTAAACCCTTATTTACTGCAAATAGTGTCAGTAACTCTTCAATTCAATATTACATTATGCTGCAACAGTAGATTTATTTTCCTATGCTTCTCCGATGTTCGAAACAAAGTGAATGAAAAATTTCAGCTGTATAATTTTTATTTTATTTATTTAAACTATGATGATTGCACATTTGTGTGTAATAGTAATGTAAATAAATACTTTTGTAAGAATATTCAAATTAATTATTTCAAATCATAATCATACATTACAAGATTTAACTGATAGATATGTCTCATCCGTTTAACTAACTATGTTATTTTTTAAGGTCTTGTTCGAAACGTTCAAGTCTTTAAGTTCTTTTGGTAGCTCATTGTAGAACTTAATAGCAATCACTGTTCTTACAGTTTATAAATTTATTTATGTTAGGATGAAGAAGACTTTTGTGTCTCGTGATGCTCGTTGATTCTCTGTATTTATATTTTAGTGTTTTGTAGTACTAAACTAAACAGTAAAATAATTCGAAACTTCCAGACGTGGATCGCGATTTCGATCATTTTGGATCTCATCAGCGCGTAACAGGCAGCTCCGACAGAACACAGACCAACTTTTACCTGCTGTCTTAATAGTGCGTTTTATAAACTACAACAAATGGCGCGGTAGACGGCACGATAGCTTAATCGAATAAAATAATAAGAATACAGACCACTTCGTGCCTATCACATTGAGGTTGACTACGCCGGGATTCGTTTTCAGCAAGTAGATATCCATATATTTAAATGGACCTTGTTAGAGCATACGTAATCCTAAAATGTATCATCGTGCTACAGATGGCGTTTACCGCGGCATTTCTAGTATTTTCTAAAACTAAACAGTCTTTAATAACTACTATTTCGGTTGAAGTAACCATTCAATGTTGTCTCAGTATGTTTCCAAGTTGGTTCGGACGCTATTAGTACTGTATCGTCTGCATATGATAGTATATACAATTGTTTGGTAGAATATTTTGTAAATCATTTATGTGTATTAGGAAAACAAGAGGTCCAAGGTACTCTTGTGGTTAGAGGGAGTTCTGAGCTTCTTTTGTCTTGAATTTTTACTGTTTGGGTTCTGTTTGCTAAGAAGGTCCTCTTATACCGCAGTAATCAAGTTTAGCGACAAGTCTAAAATGGTTTACGGTGTCTAATGCTTTAAATAGGTCTAAGATAGTGTAGTCATGTTTTTATTCAAGGAGATGAGTAGATCATTGAGATCCCTGACTACACAGATTTAATAACTGCCTCCGATCTCCTTTTTAAAGTCTTCTATGTAATGAACGTCGAATTTCCTAAAAAATTGGATCATTTCTATAATATTGTAGCGGAATTCATTTATAAAATGGGACTGAAACCTCACAATATGGTTTCTTCTCTCTACGTTAACATAAAAAATATAAATGTTAAAAATGAATAACAATTCATCTGAGCAAAAAACCGACATAAAGCTGTACTCCATCTATTACTTTTGATTCAACTGTGTTTTTTTCAAAGAGAGAAGTTAATATTTCTTTAGGAATAATATCAGTTAAGCTATGAATTGTATCTTTATAAATAATTACATCTAGGAGTTTTGACAAACTAATAATACCGTAAAATGATATTCCACCTCCAAAAGACC